TCTGACCGACTTGGGGTCCCTTGCCAGCACAGGCCCCCCTTAAGCTCTGTGGAGCTCCACCAATGTAAGTCGCTGGCCCAAGCTAGTCCCTTCGTGAGAAAGGGCCCTCAAGCCTATGCCGCTATGGAGCCAAATGCGTGTTACTGGTGGTGTCTGACCCACGAATAGGCCCTTATCGACTCAGGAGCCCCTGATTAACGCACCGAGCCCTCTGTCTGGCATTGGAGCGCCGGTCCTGCGGACCGGGGCTCCTGAATACGACCTCCGGCCGTCCTTTCGGGCCGTTAATCGTAGGTCCCGAGGAGCACGAAGGGTCCCGAGGGGCCTAAGCGGGGGGGGGGGGGCACTTGCCCCCTGCGTCCCCCTATGCCTGCGCTACTGGGCCTGTATACATACCAGTTTCCTGGAAATTATCGCAGCTTCCTGGAGTGGATAATAATTTCAGTTCACCGAGAGCATCACAGTTTTTCTGTCTTAGCGATGGGAGAACAGCTGAAACCATCGAGCCGGAAATCCCAGCCAGCTTGAACCGTCTGGCCGTCTCGCTAGCACGCGCCTCCTCATAGACTGCGCCGCAGCGCTCCGCAGTACGACGGGCCTCCGAGACGGGCGGTGCGGGAGGTGCGGCCCGCCAGCACTCACAAATCAGCTATATTAGATGCAGCGTCCGGTGTGGTAACCGCATGGGTGCAAATTACAATGTGATGTACCCACCCGGTATTGTTCTCCAACATCCAACAATGCCACCAACATGCGCCACTCATGTCCGATAATAGCGCAGCCCAGATAATTTCCTCGAACATTTTACAAACATGCGTATTTGCACTTGAAACTGTTGTCCCATTTGTACTCAGTTCCACTTATATATATATATATATATATTATTATTATATAATATATATATATATATGTGTGTGTGTGTGTGTGTGTGTTTGTGTGTTTTAGAATGTGTGTGTGTGTGTGTGTGGTGTGTATGTGTTTTCCACCTCCACAATAAAGGCGCTCGTTGAGTCACTGGTCCTCCCTCATATCAGATATTGTTTACCTGCATGGGGTCCGACACAGCCGTTCAGCGCCAGCGCCTGGATAAGGCTATTAACTTCGCGGTCAGCATTCTTGTCGGCAAACGCAGACGAGATCACGTCACGGAATCCCGCACACAATTAATTGGCTCAATTTTCGACGAGACTGTTACCCACCGCGACTGCATATGGGGTTGCAGTGCGCCATTTACGTACACTGATGGGCCACGGGCTATCAGTAATCTGATCAGGCGTCGATCTGAAGTATCTCAGCGGCACACTAAAAGACACCAGATGGCGAAACTGCACTGCAGACGAGCGCTGTAAAACACCCCTCGCTCAGGGTGGCGTAAAAAGGGCATTTCCCGTAGCGGAGCGGCGTAGCGGCGCATCGGACATAGTATCGAGCCGTAGCGGGCGGAGCCGTAGTTTTCCCCGCTGCCACATGCCAGTGCGAAACTTAAATGAGGTCAAGGGCAAAGCAAAGTCTTTCATCAGAGAACTTACCTGAAATTTGACCAACTGGCCATGACAATGCAGATGCTGATTTGT